TAGGTACCGCTCTGGCAGGATGGTAAACGGTGTTTCCGTGCGCTGCTCTGGTTCGCCAGAAGCAGCTTAATCATGCTGGCCACATGACCCGGAAGCTGTACGCCGGCTCCCTCCGTCAGTAAAGAGAGATGAGCACCGCAACCCCAGAGTTGGTCACAACGGGATCTGATGGTCAGGGGTCCCTTTACCTTTCCCTTTCCCTTTAGTTATCCTGCACCAACAGACCTGACACCCAGCTCAGTCTCTGGGCTGAATTTGGAGGGTGGGTGAGCAGAAGGGAGAAGACCTCCCCAAGGAAAGCCTGCAGCTTTTTGACCCTGCCTCCTTTAAAAACTAATAAATCTCTTGGGTTAAGGGAGCATACAACTGAAGGGTTGCAGTTTTAATGGGCCAGGTGGAGGTTGGGTGAGCAGGAGCACAGGTGGCACAGAGCTTTTCACTCTGGAGGGCAGTTCCCCATGGCTGCATTTCACCCCAGATGTGTTTATGGCACTGCCCCACAGTCCTTTCTTCCTTGCTTACATTCCTCTCCCCCTCCACCCGTGTAATGAAGTGGTTAAAGTCACCCAGTCCTGTCCACCCGAATGTCTTTTTTGCAGATGTTTTGCCTCCCTGACGGTCAGAGCATGAGCTGGCACACCTATTCTAGTGAGGGTCGCCAAAACGAGTCCTGACGCTGTGAGCCACCCCCTTGAAGATTCCACTCTCTCTCCATCTCTCTGTTCCTCTGCAACACTTAACTCTCACGCATTGGCTGCCTGCGACGGGGGGACTCGGCCTTGCGGAAACAGAGAGGATAAACTGAGCTTCTCAGAGCCTCGCTGCTTTCAAAGGCTTCCTAACACATTCACCATGGCCTCTTCAATTAATGCTAAATGAGCACTGTGGAAGCCCAGCCCCTGTGGGTGTTTTTTGGTTTTTTTGGGTGATAGTTATCTTCTTCCGGGTAACTTATTAAGGCAGGCAGAATCTGTCTTACTTGAGCAAAGTTCCTCATTTGTGCCGCTCTTAAGGTTGTGCTTGCTTTGCCAGCGGCTTTAATGGTTACCTGGTTGCACGATTTCCCTGCAAGGTGGGCCCAGGTGGTCTCTGCATGGTTGGTGGAGCGGCCTTGCAGCCGGTCAGTCTCTCTTGTTGTTTTCCCCCCACCCCCGCAATTTATTAAAAGAGATTCTTACTCACCCACTGGTTGCTGTATTGTCCAAAGCATGATCTTGAAGCAGATGTTTCTATTGTCTCCCCCAACTCCCCCCACCAGATGCATGCAAAATGTTTTTGTTCTGCATCAGAAATACCCTGGTTTTAACCATTGGAGAAAGGAAACGGCGAAGCCCTTTCCACTCACTAAAAGATGCCGGCAAGAGCTGGGGTTGGAGGGGAGAAACAAAACAGCAACTTTTTTAAATAAATCTCCAAACTGTCCTTTATTGTGCTTGTAAAAACATCCAGCAGCTAATCCCATTTACGACTTTGCAGCTTTTATTGGGAGTGTTGCAATCCTGTTGATGTGCGTAATGCAAAGAACAATGCAAATATCTGCTGCAAAGTTAATATGGGTTGAACCATAACTGTGAGGCGCTTTGTAGCTCCTTTTTTGTCACAGCCAGAGCTGAAAGCTGCAAATCAAGACGGCTTTGGGTTTTCTTTTGAGGTTTATGCTCTTCTACGCTTGTTAATTTCTTCTGCTAGATTACGGGTTGCATAGGGCTGTGACACGCTGAACCGGCAGGCTTTCCAGACCGCAGTAGATAAAATGATAAACCCAGCTACTTTTTATAAACTAAACTTGGATCCTCTTTCAGCAATAAGAGAGGATGCCTAAATAATTTTATTTCAGGAAATGAAATTTCTTGAATATCTAATATTCCAGTAAGCCATGTCCATACCATCAATGAGAGAGAACGATTATAAGCTTTTAAGTCACTCTCTTTATGGCTCCAGAGCAGGGATCCTCAGAGATACAGTCCTCTGATGACAGCAGCCCCAAGGAGATAGAGCCAGGCCTTGGTCTGTAGGAACCAGAGCCCACATCTCCTCCCCACAGTCCTGAAGAGGAGGAGCCTTTGTCATCAGACCCAGGTGTTTCTCTTTCAGGTTGCTCAGAGAGATTGCCCTGATGAGATACCACCACCACCATCACCATTTCTGTTTATAGACCATTTAACATTTGAAAAATCTCAAAGCAGCTTACAGTAGGTAAAATATATAAGCATATGTGCACTGTAAGCACAATAAAACCATGTCAAATGATACACATAAGAAAATACGTAAAACAATATCCATAAACATAAACATGAAGCTCATTGGGTGACCTTGGGCCATTCACAGCCTCTTAACCTATCTTACAAGGTCACTGTAGTGATTAAAACTGAGGAGGGGGTTTAACCATGTACTCCTTGGAGAAAAATATGGGATATAAATGAAATAAACAAGCTCTTCTGCTTACCTGCTTAAGAAAGCTGGAGCGGCCAGCCAGATGGCGATGTCAGTCGCTAATCTGGCATCCAGAGATCTTCACATGGTCGCAGTTGGACCCATGCCAGGTGCAAAATGCACCTTGTGCCTGGGAGATTTCTAACACCACATAACATGAACAATACTTCCATAGCTTGAAACTCCAATACCTAGAAGAAGCTCCTGGTAGCAGAAAAAGGCACTAGGCCTTTACCTTGCCAGATACAGAGTTCAAGGTGTGGGGCTCTGCCCCATGAACACCTGGCCCTGGCTATATCAATCTGCAAGTTGCTCCAGGATGCTGCTGATGTTCTGGCTCAGCTACAGGATTGCTAGTCATGGTCCCGAAACTCACACCATGGTCCCTCTCCGTGGTGCTGACCATACCTTGCCTCACCTGCCTGCCTTCCTGGAAATCCGAGGCTCCTGACTTCCCCCCATCACCTGTCTCTGACAGTGGGCAGCCCAATGCATCAGGACAGCCTTTGCCCAGATGTTGGAAGACTGTTTTATTGGAGCTCCAAAATACTGCATATGACTATCAGCACAGCTTGGCCCCTGCCAAAGCATACAAGCATTTCTGCTTTGTGAAGCTGCTTTGTGCTGTGTTAGCCCAGGTAGCCCAATGCAGGCGGTTCTGGCTAGCCATCACTCTGGATGGTTCACACAGAACCCTTTAACTGGCAATGGTCAGGATTAAGCCTGAGGCCTTCTGCATGCCAAGCAGGTGCTCTCACTGAGCTATGACCCCCATATATTGGTCCGTTTAGCATGCTCCTGTTTACTTCAGGGTCGCTGCTGGGCTCCCAGCTCCTGCCAACCCAGCTAACGTGTCAGGGATGGTTTGAGCTGTTGACCTGCAGCAGCAGGTAGGCCACAGTTTCCCCTCCCTCCTTACCACAGGTCTCTTGAAATCTCTGGGAAGAAACATACTCCACCCCCCAAAAAAATTATCTGGAAATTGAGCTGGGATCTTGTGCATGTGCTCTGAAGTGTGGTATTAACATGACCCTTCCCCATACTAATATTTGAGACCCACACAGTCATCTCATATATTTCCTGTGAATGTAAGAAAATTTATGCTCGATCAGATCAAAGTCCTAATATATTATTATAATAATAATAATAATAATAATAATAATAATAATAATAATAATTTATTATTTATACCCCAACCACTGTGGGTTTCCCCAGCCACTCTGGGCAGCTTCCAACAAAGTATTAAAATACAGTGGTCTGTTAAACATTAAAAGCTTCCCTAAACAAGGCTGCCTTCAGATGTCTTTTAAAGATAGGATAGCTGCTTATTTCCTTCACATCTGAAGGGAGGGCATTCCACAGGGCGGGCGCCACCACCGAGAAGGCCCTCTGCCTGGTTCACTGTAACTTGGCTTCTCGCAGGGAGGGAACCACCAGAAGGCCCTCGGCGCTGGACCTCAGTGTCCGGGCAGAACGATGGGGGTGGAGGCGCTCCTTCAGGTCTACTGGGCCGAGGCCAGTGTTCTGCTTCCCATAGTGGCCAAGTGGATGCCTCTGGGGTGTCCCTACACATGGGTGCGGTTGCAATAACCCCCTCATTCTCATGGTCCCAAGTGGTTCTTATTCAGAGGAATACTGCCTCTGAATCCAGAACTTCCATGCAGCCATTGGGACTAGTTGCCTTCTTCCTCCAGCGAAATTGTCTAATCCCCCTTTAAAGCCATCTGAGCTTCAATGTGGTGTGGCTTTAAAAAGAGAAGTGAATCCTTATGGATGTGAATTTCTCTGTGCTGAAAAAATAAAGATGCTGTAGATTGTCCAGTTGCAATTGGCTAAAACATGTTTAATTGCTGCAAAAAAGTATGTTGTTTTTTGCAAAAAAAGAGCATAAACGTCAATAGAGGTGTTGCTGTCTTGCCAAGTTGTGACTGCATCTGGGTTGCAGCTCTGGCTGAGACATTTGTCCAGTTGCCAAATGCACAGAGTTTCTTGGCTCCTGGGGTTTTAATGGCAATATCTGATCATTGTTAAACATCCCAGACCTCGCTCCCTGTAAATTGGAAGGGGGACGCTGGGGTGAGAATAATAAAGAATTGATCACTACATTCAGAGAGAGGGGAACTGCCAAAGTCCTTCCCAGGCGCCAGGATGTGCTGAATAAATCTCTTCTGGTTTTATTTTCCATTCGACTCCAAAAGTCTTTAAGAGTAGCAGGGATGATGCAAAGCGTCACACTTTTTATGGTCTGCCCCCGATGTGTTACATTTTTAAATTAAAAAAATTAATAAGATCCCAGATTCACTGTGGCCAATTGGGGGAAAAATGCCTTCTTTTACACGGACACGTATTTACTATTTCAAAAATTGGCTTCGTTTATTTTATGAAATGTCATTTTGCAGTGTTGGGAGAAGAAAATAAAATTTGGGGTGGAATCAAAAGGACTTCTGGGAGCCTTATTAAGTCCCCCACCCCCTTCATGCTGCCAAGTCTTCTGTGTTTTTGTGACAGAAACCCCCTTGGTCAAATGGTGTCTGTCTCTGTTTTTCTTTATATTCCCCTTTTCCCAGTAGACAGTGTTCCGATGAAAGACCCTCCGGACTTACTCGACAGGCAGAAATGCCTTGATGCTTTGGCGTCTCTGCGGCACGCCAAATGGTTCCAGGTTGGGCTTTTCGTTCTTACCTTATTGTAGAAGTTGCTGCTTTCCCCCTTTTCCTTTTTTGTCTTTCTATTTTGAAACACATCAGAAATGCTGCCTCTGTTATTTTTTATTTTAGTGTTTTCAGTACCCTTCTCTACTCAACAGCTGAGATATTGCAGATCTGTGAGCCACTTGCTTCTCACATGTCATGGTCTAGAATGGTTACAAAGCGATGTCATAATGCTGCTTTTTTAAAAAAATTCTTTCTTCCTTTTCTTATCCTGCCTCCTGTTTAAAAAAAGAAACCCCTTGTTTTGGGTAACTCTTTTTACTGTCATATTGTTGTTATGCATGTTTGTATGTAAAAGAGTGTTCCTTATATCCCTGTACATTAAAAACAAAACACAGAGGCTTGCTTTTTAAAAAAACACAACTGCTTATGCTGGGCATTTTTCAAGTGGATTGGAACAATTCTGTTTGTTTTAGGCAAGGGCAAATGGACTAAAGTCCTGTGTGATTGTGCTGCGTATTCTGCGAGATTTGTGCAACAGAGTCCACACTTGGGCGCCGCTGAAAGGATGGGTGAGTACTGGAATGAAATTGAGCCCCACCAGTTGGAAAAGGGTTGTTAAATTGCATGGTGGGGGAAAGAGAGATTGCAAGCTCATCATTTCCTTCATTCCAAAGAGTATTGAGGATTTAAAAATAAAATAAAATCATTCTTTATTAAAAACATAACTTGTAAAAGGTCACAGATAGTTGAAGGGCCAAAGAAAGGTCTGTTTATAGGGGAATGTTTTGGCTGGCATCTAAAGATAAGTAATGAAGACACCAGGCAAGCTTTCCTAGGGAGAACATTTGACAAACAGGGAACCACTGCTGAAAAGGCCTATTCTTGTGTTGCTGCTCTCCGGACCTCCCATGGAGGGGTAACTTGAAGAAGGACCTCAGATGATGATCATGGGATCTGAGTTGGTTCATATAAGGAGAGACAGTCCTTGAGTTATTGTGGTTCCGAGTTGCATAAGGCTTTATAGGTCAAGACCAGCACTTTGAAATGGGGCTTGGGAACTAATTGGCAGCCAGTTCAGTTGGCCCAGGATTGGCGGTATGAGCTCAAGCCATCTTGCCCTGGTGAGCAACTTGGCTGCTGGATTCTGAGCCAGCCGAAGCTTCCGAACCATCTTCAAAAGCAGCTCTGCACATTGCAGTAATCTAACTGGACGTCAGGAAAAGTGTCCTTCGCTTGGGCCACTCGCCTTAGTAAACAGAACTATAACTGTTTGCACAGTTCGACATGGATCTTCTGATACCCTTGTGGGAAGTGGATTGAATTACTTTTGCCGCAGACACAATCCATTTGGGGATTTCTCCTATGAAAAAGCCCATTGGAATGGATAGTAATTGATGTAGCTCCCGTTCATTTAACCGGGGCTTGGGCATGAAGAGCAGTCTGTGTGGCTCAGGAATGAGGAACCTGACACTCTCCAGATGTTGCTAAACTACAGCTCCCATCATCCCTGACTCTTGACCATGCTGGAAGTTGTAGTCTTACACCCATCCTTGCTGTGAGTGATCCCTCTTGTCCCCTTTGTCTGCCCAGGCATTGCACGCATCTCCTTCCTTAAACATTCAACCCCACAGTTCATTAATGCACAGTTCATGCCACCATTTCCTGGTATGCAAACATTTTAAAGCATACACCACCTTCCCTTACACACACTTACACTCCCCACCCCTTGATGCAGAATGAAAGTAGAAAACCCAGCACCCAAGTGTCAAACAAATGTTGCCTCTTCCCCATGGGTGGTATTCATACTGACAGGGATCTCAATGTCTTCTAGCCACTGGAGCTCATTTGTGAGAAAGCCATAGGCACGTGCAATAGACCCTTGGGTGCTGGTGAAGCTCTGCGGCGAGTGATGGAGTGTTTGGCATCAGGGATCCTGCTACCTGGTAAGAGCTGCCACAGGCACCCCTGAGGTGCTGTGTGGTACGTGCCTGGGCACACATCTCTTCAACTTGCCCTGTTTGTTACTTGTGCGCCAGCCTCAGTCCTAGTCCTGTGAGTTTTTAAAGTAGTATTTCCCCAAGCAAGTGAATCAATTGAGTGTTCACACCCTTGGAAGGAACAAACATGCACCACTGAAAGTCTCTTAATAACGCAGTGGTTTTATTGGGCGATCTGTACCATTTTGCAGTCTTTGTTCTGTTTTGAAATAGGTGGTGCTTGAACACAGAGGGGCTCTTTCGCTTACATGATGATAGGTTTTGAAATGCCTTGGTTCATTTGGACATTATTTTCTCCTTGTGGGGAGAGCCGGCTTTAGATTTGCTTCTTCCCTTCTCTCTACATTGAGAAGAGTGTAGTGGAACTAAGGGAGCTTCCTTATATCTGGTCAGATTCTTTGTCTGTCTACTCCAGGAGTGTCCAGTACAGTGGTGCCTCGCAAGACGAAAAGAATCCGTTCCGCGATTCTTTTCTTCTAGCGGTTTTTTTCGTCTTGCGAAGCAACCCCATTAGCGGCTAAGCAGATTAGCGCTATTAGCGATTTAGCGCTATTAGCGGGCTTAGCGGCTAAGCTGTTAAAAGGCTATTAACAGCTTAGCCACTTTGAAAAAGGGGGGGAAAGCGGGGGGGGAATGGCGAGACTCGCAAGACGTTTTCGTCTTGCGAAGCAAGCCCATAGGGAACTTCGTCTTGCGAAGCGCCTCCGCGACGGAAAACCCTTTCGTCTTGCGGGTTTTTCGTCTTGCGAGGCATTCGTCTTGCGGGGCACCACTGTAGTGTCTGGCTGGCAGCAGAAAGGAGAGTCTTCCCTATCCCCTTTTGAACTGGATCTGCTATGAATTGCACCAAAGTCCTTCTGCGGTGGAAGCAGATTCTCTTACCACTGACCTAGAGTCCTCCTACTCCCCCAAGGTCTGCTCCTGATCTCTCACTGTGATAAAAGATATTTGGGTGAAGGCTTCAGTGTAGACTTTCCTTGCTTTCCATCCATCCTTCCCATTGGTATCCCTGTTTCCTGCCCCACTGAGCAGTCACAAGGACTCACATTCTTCAAGCATTCATGGTCAAATCCCACAAAACACAGCAGAGGCTGGCTTAAAAGCATCAGCATATGGCAGAATGAACAGTCCTAGAATAATAGAGAAATTGGGCCCTTATAATTTTCATTTGGAGAAACCCAACCTCCACCCAGGTGTTTTGGGGCGGCCATTCCCCCTACCCCTATTCTGCTGAAACTACCTGGTTTCCTTAATAATTTTGTCCTCACAGCATTTCAGAAAAGAAGGAAGCACAGGGCTACGATGGGTCGCCAGGGTTGCTGAACTACAGCTCCCACCATCCCTGACCACTGGCCCTGCTGGCTGGGGCTGCGGAGAGTTGCAGCCACAACAGCCCCTGGAAGGGGCCAAGGATCCCCAATCCCTGGTCCTAAAGTCCTTGGTGCTGATCTGCTTTCTTGCCCCACAGGTGGGCCTGGTGTGCATGATCCATGTGAGCGGGAGCCAACGGATGCCTTGTCCAACCTGACTGTTCAACAGAGAGAAGCCATTACCCACAGTGCCCAGGTAAAATGTGCCAGGCGCCTGGGTGGGAGAGCATCCTGGACCACCTTTTGTTCATCTCCTGTGGCCACAAGTGGTTGGAAAACTAGAGTCGCCATATTTTGAGCTGTTTCTGCTGCTTTTTCCATCATGTTACCATACATCCGGGTTTTCCCTGACATTTTGCCAATTCAGCAAAATTCACCCTTGATGCCATCTTTACACCTGAAAACCAGGACATGTCAGGAATTTTCCTGCCGCATGGCAAGCCTAGGAAAACCCTTAGGTCAGAGCTTTCATTTGGGTCAAAACAAAATAAGCTCATTGGCTTCCTGACCAACGTTCTATGAATACAAAAAACCCCAAGGTAGCCTGTGACATTAATGTTGGCTATGGAAAACATCTGCATCCTGCACATTGTATACAGTAATTGCATCCTAACTGAGTAATATCACCTTGCATGAGGAGATGTGGTACCAATTGGCTACTGTGGCTACAATACAGTGGTACCTCTGGTTGCGAATGGGATCCGTTCTGGAGGTCCGTTCGCAACATGAAAAGAGCACAACCCACAGTGGCACGTCTGCGCATGCGCAGGTTGCGATTCACCGCTTCTGCACATGCGCATGACATCATTTTGCACTTCTGCGCATGCACGAGCGGCTAAACCCGGAAGTAACCCTTTCCGGTACTTCCGGGTCACTGTGGGACATAACCTGAAAGAACGTAACATGAAGCAAATGTAACATGAGGTATGACTGTACCTGTTTTAGAAATCCAGCATTTTAAGTTGTGCGTTTTATGTATGGGTAATATGTGTATTCAAGCTGGACTCTTCCTTCCTCTCGCTCCCTCTGGGCCTTGGAAGCAGGCACAGATGGCTCCCTCTTCCAGGGGAGTTGATAAACCTGGCCTTGTGGGCTGTAGGCCCTGAATCTTTCTCTGTTTCCGGGTGGTTAATGGTTTTTGGGAAAACTGAACTGGGGGGTAATCTGTGTTACTAGGCAGATTATCTATTGGGCAGGGGGATTAGTTTATGATGACTGTATCTTGAGATGACTGTGTGAGTACTTGAAGGTGAATTTCATTTATTCAGAGCAGGATCTGTTGGGAAGTCAACTGGATTAATTAAAAATGAACTGGTTTAGGGTGGGGTGCAAATTGACTGACGGTGGAGTGGTTTGGGTGTGAAATTAGTGGGCTTTTCCCTCTGTGGAGTTTTAATACTAAACCTGAATGCCTACCTACAAATTGGAACTGGCATTTTTCGATTTCCTTCATCCTTCACCATTAGGTCCTAGGGCAGCTTCCAGCAATTTAAAATACAACATTAAAATCAGCTTTAAAATAATTGCAGTCACAAAAATAGAGTGGGGTCTAAAATATGCAGCTCTCAAGTGTCATAAAACTGGCTTCCTTGCAGCAGTCAGGGAATGTTGAGGAAGAGCAGGTTGCTTTTCCTACAGAGCTCAAGAGTCTTCTCCCATAAGAAAAAACTGGGTTGGCACCTGTCTTACCTGCAGCGCAGGTGTTGCTTGCTGGTGGGAGTGGGGCTTTCTCTCTCTCCATGTGCTTTTCTCATGCCTCCGTTACCTGGGTGGTGGGCATCAGCCTGCAGGGCAGAACATAGCCTGATATGTGTTTAGGAGAAACTTGTGGAGCAGTGGGGCTTGAAAATAACCTTTCTTTCTTGCAGCATGCCTTGAGACAGTCAGCTTTTGGGCAGATCTACAAGGTGCTGGAAATGGATCCTCTCCCTTCCAATAAGTCGTTCCAGAAATATTCCTGGTCAGGATCCGACAAAGAAGGTAGCTGTTGTGGGACAAACAAAATCGGAGAGGGAATCTCCCTGTCAGTTGAGGAGGCTTAGTATCTGGTTTTGCTGTCTTTTTTTAGGAGGGTGGGAACTAAGAGGGTGGTAGCTCTGAGTCTTTGGCTCAAGAATCCCTGAGCAGCATTTCCCCCTTTAACTTTCAGAAACAGCGTGAAGTATGACTTATCTTCCACCCTGAGAATTTGTGTTTATGGGGCAGCTAACAGATGTAAATGATTAGCAGCCTTTTACCCAGCATTGCTTGGGAATTCTAAGAAATTGGGGGTGGGGGAGAACTACCACCAGGGCAGTTTTGAAACTGCCAACTTACAGATTTGAAAATAAGGGACCAGCAGCCTCGAAAATAAGGGATCAGCAGCCAAAATAAGGGATCAACAATTACTTTGATAAAATACATATTTTGTTGCGTGCAAATGGCTTGAGATACCTATTAGGTCCATAAATTATCATATAGCATATATTCAACACAAAAAACATCCACAATTTGTTGTGGACAAAGGACAGCTGGACATAGAAAGGGCCCCATTACTTTCAGTAGCTTATTTAAGGGACATCATCAATAAGGGACAGCAGCGGGACATGGCTAAGGGACTGTCCCGCCAAATAAGGGACGCTTGACAGCTATGGAAATCAGTTGCTAAAATCAGTGCAGTTGTGAAAGGTTCAGCCTGCCACCTCGATTCAAAACAGCATCCAAATCACAGAATCATAGAATTGTAGAGTTGAAAGAGACCCTCAAGGATCATCTAGTCCATGGGTAGGCAAACTAAGGCCCGGGGGCCGGATCCGGCCCAATCGCCTTCTAAATCCAGCCCACAGACAGTACGGCAACCAGCCTGTTTTTACATGAGTAGAATGTGTGCTTTTATTTAAAATGCATCTCTGGGTTATTTGTGGGCCATAGAAATTCATTCATTCCCCCCACCAAAAAAAAAAAAATATATATAGTCAGGCCCCCCACAAGGTCTTAGGGACAGTGGACCGGCCCCCTGCTGAAAAAGTTTGCTGGCCCCTGATCTAGTCTAACCCCATGTGATGCTGGAGTCTCAGCTAAAGCATCCATGACAGATGCTGTTTGCCAAAACCTCCACCTTAGGAATCATCATTCAAAATTTGGTTTGGATATGTTACGCAGTGTTCAAATTCATAGTGAACAAACAGTTTTCCAGTGGGGTGGGGGGGGGAGAGAGAGAGAGAATATGTGAATATTTCTGAATGGATTTGGGGGACCAAATACATAGCCGTTCCATTTTTGTCTATTCCAAATTTGGAAAAGAAATGTGTTTTGTGTTTTCATAGAATCCTATAGTTAGAGGATTCCTTGTAGGCCAGCTAAACTTACACCCCCACCCCCACTTGATGCAGGAAATCTAGGTTCTGCTTGAAGATCTCCAGGGAAGTGGGAGACCACTACCCTTCTGAGAACCAGTGGCTAGAATATTGGACTGGGAGTCCACGAAAGCCACAAAGCTTGCTAATTGGTGTCAGAGCAGTCATTGCTTTCCGCCTTGCCTACCTCAGAGGGCGGGTGTGAAGTTAAAAGTGTGTGGGAGGGGAACCACCCAGAGGTGCTTGTAAGATAAATATCTGTCTTTCTCTATGAATAACACTGTGTGATTCATAACCTGCTTTGAAACTGGGATGAGTTTCCCTCCTAACCTGCTGCTCAGGTTCTTCTCAGCCGCTCAGGCTTTCTCTCTTAATAGACATCCTAGTTGTGCGACTCAGAATTCGAACTCCTTGCAAGGTGCACATTTGTTGCCTCCCGTTTGCAATGTGGGAATAGCAGGCAACGTTTGGGTGGTTTACCAGACAACCACACACACTGGTCTGTTTGTTCATTTATTAAGGTCCTCAAACCCAGCTGGCATAAATCTAATCGATGCCTTGGCAGAGCCAGCCATGCTCCAGGGGGCTGTTTGGATACAGGTGTCTTGAGGGGGCTCCTTGCTGCAGGAGCTGGGTCGCCTGTCCCTGGGCTTCAGTTGCCAGCTGCATCTCTCCATAGGCCCCATTTTCCCCAAGCAGCTCTGTGCAGCTGCCCCACACCAATGGCTGCATGTGGGACTTCCCAGCAATTAAACTGTTGCCTCTTTTGGTACCCGCTGCTGTCAAAAGCATAATGGCTTCTTGGCACTTTAGTGATGGCCTAGGCCGCCCCAGCCATTTATTTTTAAAGTGAGAACATTGATCCTGTGACACCCTCTATTACGGGCGAGTTTATTGCTATTAAGGCAAATGATGGATGCCGATAGATAGGCCCCTTGTTCTCCGTTCCCTCCCCTTCCAGCCAGCCTGATGGATGCTGAAGCCGGGATGCTTATAGCAGAGTTATTAGCTTGCAGCATCTAAGATAGACTTGCAGGAGAGACTCTCAGACTGGAGGTGGCTTATCAGTCCCTTCAGGGTAAGGAGAGAGGGAGGGAGCAAGACGCTCTGTTCCCAGGTGACTTTTGGCTGTGGAAATCCAGTGCTTTATTTATACCCACGCAGGATGTGCCAGCGAGCCTCATTAATATTTGGCCTAGGGCAAATGTGCTGTCTCTTTACCATCCCTGCCCCAGCCCTGTTCATTCTGTTGCAGTTTCTTGGCCCTGTATGGCATTGTACTTTGCCAGCTCCTCTTTGACCATGACTGATCTGTCAGCAAGGCTTGTGCATTGAAACAGTCCAGGGAGACACGGGAGGCATCTTTCAGGGATGCATTCTGCACTGTATATCCTGCATCAAGCACAATACAGGTGAAACTCGAAAAATTAGAATATCGTGGAAAAGTTCCTTAGTTTCAGTAATTCAACTTAAAAGGTGAAACTCATATATGAGATCGACTCATGACATGCCAAGTGAGATGTGTCAAGCCTTGATTTGTTATCATTGTGATGATCATGGCGTACAGCTGGTGAAAACCCCAAATTAACAATCTCAGAAAATGAGAATATTCAAGGAAATCAGCAAAACAAGGATTGCAAATCGAGCAAGATTGGACCTCTGAGAAGTAGAAGCACATCTCGCTTTGTATGTCATGAGTGGATCTCCTGTATGAGTTTCACCTTTCAAGTTGAATTACTGAAATAAATGAACTTTCCCACGATACTCTAATTTTTCGAGTTTCACCTGTAGTTGGTCTCTAGGGACCTTCCCAGTGCTAACGTTCTTCCAGCTGTTTGTGTTTCTTAATGCCACGATCCTTTCTTGTGGGGAGGGGAGCCAAAAGCGCCTGACAACAAATGCAGTGGAACCCCACTGTTTGACAGTGGAACGGACTCCCTCGGGAGGTGGTGGGCTCTCCTTCCTAGGAGGTTTTTAAGCAAAGGTTGGGTAGCTGTCTGTCCTGGATGCTGTAGCTGAGATTCCTGCATTGCAGGGGTGGACTAGATGACCCTTGGGGTCCCTTCCAGCTCTACAATTCACTGATTCTGTGAATTAACACACAGTATCAGAATTATATTCAGTATGCAAAACAAAAACAAAAAAAAACCCCGGGATACATATTAAAACACAGAACAAATCCATGTCAAGACAGTTCCAATGATCTGGCAGTAAATCAGTTAAATTCCCACCGGTAATAAGATCCATCTCTGTTAACAGTAAGAATCCCATGAACACTTTTTTTTAAGTTACAAAACATATTAAATGTTTTCTGCCTACCTCTTCCCATCCTAGGACCCTGAGTTAGGTAAGAAACACCTAAATTTGTAATCCAGCAAAACTAGTAACTGACCATTGGAATACAGCAGGTAGGAAGTTTTGTGTATAGGCAACAGCTGATGGCACCAGCGACCGGTGGCATCCCTGGACATGCTTTCCTACTTTCCTCCAGCAAATTATTGCCTCGTTGAATTAATTTGCCCCCGAGTCCCTTGTAATTGAACTGGTTTTTGCAGGTTTACCTAGGAGAAAGTCACCTCCTTTCCAATGCGGGTGCTGGCTTTCCCTGGTGGAAAACTAGGCAGCTTACAAAGCAACTTTATCCTTGCAGCAATCTGCTGCCCTTATTCGTTATTTGTTTAAAATTACTAAGCTGCCTGGCCCTACGACACACACCATCAATCCACCTCTAGCCCAGTGCGGCCCTCCAGACCTGTCTGCATGGCCCTTGGGACTCTCTCCAGGCCACATCTCACTAGTCCAGAATGATACCCTCCCTGTGTGTGTTTCCTGACTGTGAATGTGCCTGTGAGCTCTGAAAATGCCTTTTTGCATGCCTGGATGGAGGATAGAGAGGTGTGTGAGAGAGCATGTGTAGAAACCAGCCTTCTGTACAAAGGTAAACAAATTTGTGCTCTACCTACTGGTGCCTCTTCCCCTTCCCACCACCAGTGTGTGGCCCTCTGAAGGTTGCCAGAAAGGAATGTGGCCCTTGGGCTGAAAAAAGATTCTGCTTTCTTTGTGATCTAGTGGCAGCTCTCTGAGGCTGTTCTAGGCCTTTGGCCCAGCTCTGCTGTGGCCCTCACCTCCTCCACAGGCCAGATTGTTCTTCCTTTAGAAAGCTTCATATCTATCTTTCTTCACTTTCCACATCACCTTCTTGTTGGTTTCTTGTTTCCTTGCATTTTTGGAGCGTTAAGGGTTTTCTTTAATGCTCTTTAGCTTGCTGAGTTCTGTGTAAAAGCTGTCTCTGTAGCACAGAGCTGGGAACAGGTGACTGCCTTGCCTCTGCTCAAAGACTCCTCCAGGCAGAGAGAGTCTCTCTCTCTCACACACCACCCTCTAGGTCATGGGTTCCACTGTCCAGCTCCTCTTGCTATTGAGAAGTTTTCCTAATAGTCATCCATCCATGTGACTTAAGCACCTTAGGTTTAATTCTGCCCTCTGAGGCAGGACAAGTCTGTGCCCCAGACTCTTGTTTCTCCACACATAACTGCATAAGCTGCTACTGCAAGTTTTGTGGGATGCATCTCCTCAGCTGCAGAAGGGAGTAATCTGCTGGGTGGTCTTGATGGGAAGAGCAGTGGGTGGCTGGGTGAGAGGGAGCTGGATTTGGGCCAGAGACATCAAACGGCAAGCCTTAATCATTTGATACGTTTAATTTGCTCTCTCTGCTGAGGCTCCCGGTGAATGGCAGTGTGCAAGCAGGGCTGCACAGAATTCACATTTCTGAGAATCAGAGTTTCCTTCTTTGAAGAAACAAACCAAAAAGATCAAGTTTTTAGACCTTGAAGATATTATTGGAAATGCGTGTGCAATGCCCACTGAAAATTCTGAAGCCGGATGGGAATGGATTGAACCAGATCTCCAAGCTCTCAACAGCTGCTTTGGCAACGCTGATTCAGTGGGAGTTGGGGAATTGGCAAGACTAGAATACAAAATGAGGGCAGTGCAGAATTATTAGGGGAGATTGTGCGAATTTTAGCCAAGTTGCAAAAGAGCTTTACTTGCAATCAGAACTTTAACGTAACAAATGTTTGGGTGGGCATGTTGTGTTTTTTTGTTTACTACCACTGTTTGAATGCTCACTTTGGTCCATCTCCAAAACCCACCTAATGAGAGCTTTATCTTTTGTAGGTGCAGGCTCTTCCGCTTTGAAGAGGCCTTTTGAAGATGGGTTGGGAGATGAGAAAGACCCAAATAAAAAGATGAAGCGTAACTTGAGGAAAAGTAAGTTGCCATATCTCCACCCCGTTTTGCTCCAAGGAGGAGCCAAAGTGCTGTACAGGGAGCTGATTTGAAAGCCTTTGAAGTGCTGTGGGGATTGGGTAGAGGCAGGGACCCCCAAGTTGATCGAGGAGTAGGGTGGTAGTGTGTGTGTGTTGTTCCTTCCACAGTACTGCACTTACAAGTAGGGATGAGGAATATTTGACCTTCCGGGTTACCCTTGGCCATACTGGTTAGGGCTGATGAGAGTTGGGACTCCAATGACATCAGAAGGGCCTGTCCCTGACTTGGAGTTTCCATTGAGGCATCTTGAAAAATGTGCTCAGTTTCTTGGAACAGCAAATCTATGCAGCCATCCTATGCAACCATTGGTGTTTGAGAGTATGCAGTGGTTTAGCAGCTACTAGGCCTGTACCCTTGTGGTAGTGCTACAAGTGATTGTAGACTGTGGCTTGAAAACTATGGCGGATGAGGCTATTGATAGCTCTGGCAGTGTTCCTCAACCTGGTGCTCTCCAGGTGCTATTAGACAACGACTTGCATTAGCCCCATCCAGGATAGCTAGCGGTCAAGAATGATGGGAGTTGCTGCCCAAAACATTCGAAGAGCCCTGGGTTGGGGAAGGCTGTTCTGCTAAGTGTTTATTGAATTCTAATGGTTGGCCCCACTTATGGAGGGGTCTTTGTCAATTATTTCATTTCTGAAAAAGATAAGTTTCATACAAGGGATCATCATTAGCAAAGGAATTGAAAATAAAACTGCCTACACAATGTTGTTATGGAAATCTGTGGTGTGACTGCATTTGGAATACAGTTGTACTTTGGATCTCAAATGCCTTGGCTTCCGAACAAATTGGCTCCCAAACGATCGAAACCCGGAAGTGAGTGTTCCAGTTTTTGAACAATTTTTGGAAGCCGTATGTCCGGTACGGCTTCTGATTGCCTGCAGGACGCTCCTGCAGTCAATTGGAAGCCACGCCTTGGTTTCCGAATGGTTCCAGGAGTTGAATGAAACCCCGGAACGCATTCTGTTCGAGAACCAAGGTAAGACTGTACTGTGTATGGCGTTCTGGTCGCCTCATCTGAAAAGGGACAGTGTAGAGTTGAAAATTTTCAGAAATGGTTCACCAACACTGCTCCCACTGGCCCAATTTTTTATACATTTTAAGGTTTGACATAACCGCCCTAGCCTGCATTTTCTGTATTCCATTTCTCTCTGACCCCACTACTTCTGGGCGCGAGCCAATTTAGGATAACATATCGTGCATCTGATGAAATTGACTCTAGTCCACGAGAGCTTGCACTGTAATGTGTGCCTTGAGCATTACTGAATCCTTTAAGCATGGGTGGCCAATGTGGTGCCCCATCCAGCATGGCCAATGGACCAGGGATGATGGTAGCCCAACATGCGGAGGGCATGCACTGGTGAGGGTGGCAAAATGCCTTGTGTTCATTCATTCATTCATTGCTACTAATTAATTTTATGAAACATTCCAGTGGGAAATTTGCTGTGGAAAGTTTTTCACCCCGTGTCAGTATGTGGCCTGCTCTGTTCCAACTCTCTCTCCTCTTCCTCCCATTCCAGTCCTTGACAGCAAAGCAATAGATCTCATGAATGCTTTGATGCGTCTCAATCAGATACGGCCTGGATTGCAGTACAAGCTCCTTTCTCAGTCTGGCCCTGTCCATGCCCCGGTCTTCACCATGTCAGTTGATGTGGATGGCACGACGTATGAAGCTTCAGGGCCTTCCAAGAAAACCGCCAAGCTTCATGTTGCAGTGAAGGTAAAGTTGTGTGGCAGAGCCAAAAAGGTGGTTTATTTGAACATCCAAACTCAGTTCGCAGGCTAACCATGGTTTGTACTCCTCGACAAGCCATGATGTGAAGCCATGGGTTGTTGCCATGTAACTCTGGCTTCCAATAATAATAATAATAATAATAATTATTATATATAATAATAATAATAATTTATTTACATCCCGCCCTCCCCAGCCAACACTGGGCTCAGGGCAGCTAACACCAGGTATTAAAACAATTGATTAAAATGCAACTTAAAAAAGATTAAAATACAACATTAAGATGCAGCCTCATTTCAGTAGAAACTCAAATCAAAAACTTTTGGGGATGAAAACGTCAAGTCTTCACGAAGGCCAACTATCCAGACTGGTTTTACATGGGCGAGGAAAAAAGCCAGGGAAGTCCCCAAATAGGAGTTCCATCACAGAAGGAGAAAGGAAAGGGGGGATCAAGTGGATTCCAAGCCAAAGGCCGAGGCGGAACAACTCTGTCTTACAGTCCCTGCGGAAGAAATCAGATCCCACAGGGCCCTGGTCTCACGAGACAGAGCGTTCCACCAGGCCGGAGCCAGTGTTGAGAAGGCCCTGGCTCTGGTTGAAGCTTTAATTATGGTTTGGCATTGTGACCAAACGATGTGCCACAACAGCCTTGCTTAACCATGGTTTGTTTGGTCACTGTAGCCCAGATGTTTGGCACGAGGCAAGAGCAGCTGGGAAACAAAGCTTTGAAGGAAACCTGTGACTTGTTTGCTTCTCTGTGAGGCTGCTTGTGATCTGTTGAACAAACTGTGGTTAAGACATGTTCAAATGCAGTAGCCAGCTTTCTCTTCCCAGGTCACAGAGGCAAAGCATGAGCGTAACAATAAGCAGTGGGTTAGTTTCACATGCTTGAACCTTGGGCTTCTGCCTGTCCCTCCTCTAGCGCAAGTGAAGACATTTGATTTCAATTAACTGCTGTTTAAGTACTTAACCCTGAAAAGCACGTGGTTAAGTTGTAAGGCTAATCTTGACTAGGGTTTATTAAAACAAGCAAGCCTTATGAACTCTAGTTTGAAGTTGATGTGTTCCGCAAACCATAGCTAAGACTAAACATTAGAGGCAGGTTAGAATGACTCCATAGCCTACCAGCATTGATTTGCTTCTATTTATTTTCTTCTATTTATTTGCTACTACTATTTTGGAAGGCATTGTATATATATGGTTGCCAAGTGGTAACCCATTTGGACTCTTACAAGACCCAGACCTGGCTTAGCTTAGTTTAGAGAAAAGGCAGGTAAGAGGTGATGTGATAGAAGTTTATAAAATTATGCCTGGTATGGGGTAAGTGAATTGAGAAAACTTTTTCTCCCTCTCTCCTAACACTAGAATTTGTGGGCACCCAAAGAAGCTGATGTTGGAAGCTTCAGGACAGGGGAAATAAAAGACTTTTCATGCAGTTCAAACTGTGGAACTCACTGTCACAAGAGTCAGTGATGGCCCCCAATCTAGCTGGTTTTAAAAGTGTATTAGACAAATTCATGGAGGGGAGGACTTTCGATGACTTTGCTCTGCTCTCCACAATTGGAGGCAGCAATGCCTTTGAATACCAGTTTCTAGAAACTGCAGGAGGGGAGAGGATTGCTCTTGTGCTCCAATCCTGCTTCCGTGATTCCCAGAACATTCTTAAATGTTATACCCCTAATGAACATAGCAGCAAATATGCTTCAGGAAGGACTGTTCTTGTGCTCAGGTCTTGCTTGTGGGTTACTGGTTGGTCCCTGTGAGAGTGGGGTGCTTAACAGAGGGGCCATTGGCTTGCTCCAGCAGCACCCTTCTCCTCTTCTTAAGTTCAGCAAGGTGGCAGCCTTAAGACAATGCCCTGGCGATAGTTGATAGGGGAAGTTCACCTCCAGCCAGCTTGAGAAGGAGGACTTTGAGGAGGAGCAGGGGGGAGGAATCCTTTCCCCCCCAAGCTGGCATATTCTCAGCCATGAGAGGCCCTGCAGTGGTTCCACCTGTCTTTAAAAAAATAAATCAAAAAGTGGTTCCTTTCATGTGTTCCGAATGAGGCCTTCGTTCTTCAGAGTTCATCTGGCAGCGGTTTGATTCCTTCGTTTCAGAGCCCAGATAACTTTTCCTTTATACATTGCTCACTTTGAACATGAAAGTCCCTCCAAAGTATTTGAGAGAAGCTCTTTCTGTTCTTTCCAAGGGCACTCTCCGTTCCAGTCCAGTTGCTGAATATTCCTTCTTTCCCCCCCCCCAGCCCCCTGCTGTGCATTTTAGAGCATCTATCTATCTCTCTCTTTAATTGGGATATAGAATGAATGAATTCTCATCAAACTGTCAACATTGGTATTCTTAATGAAAGAGCCCCAGTTCTGAAAATAATGCGAAAAACACTAGTTTCAGGGGGGAAAGGTCATGCTATGACACGTTATATATTTTATTTATTTATTTATTTATTGCATTTATATTTCGCCTTTTTTCCAAGGAGTGCAAGTTGATGTGCATGGCTCGTCCCCCTCTCCAGTTAATCCCCACAGCAACCCTGTGAGGGTAGATTAGGCTGAGAGAGAGAGAGAGTAACTGGCCCAACGTCACACTCTGTGTGCTTCATAGAACCAAGGAATTGTAGAGTTGGGACCCTAAGGGTCATCCAGCCCACCCCCCCTGCAATGCAGGAATCTCAACTAGATCATACAGGACAGATGGCCATCCATCATCTGCTTGAAAACTCTCCTGGAAGTCTGTTCCACCGAGTGGGGATTTGAACCCTGGTTTCCCAAGTCCAAGTGCAACACTCTAGCCACTACACCATACTGCCTCTCCTTGCTGCTTATTGCACGCAATCCATGGAAAGGCAAAACAGGTTTAAGCCCCATGTAAAGCAGTGACATTTAGACTCTGGGTCATTTTAATCACACCGTTTTCAATTTCCTCTAGATGCGGGGATGCAGCATGCTTGCCACAGATAATTTCATGAATGTAGCAGACTGACCATGAAGAAGGGTTTAGGTTCCGTGGTTCCCAAACTTCTTCAGGCCACCCCACCCCCAACTGGGTTCCATAAACCTGTCCCCAATGTCCCTCACCTGATCTTATAAAAAGTACTATTCAGAATAGCGGTTTGCACAGCCCACTAAGGAAGGCAATAACACAACAAGATGCAAAACAAAATAGGAAAAGTTCTGGGTATTTGCATAATTTGTACAGGATTCAGGAGTCAATGTCTTCTAGGAGCAGATATTTAAATTTAGTTTGGATTTGTTTTTTGTTTGTTTTACAAAACCCGGGAGTATTCGCAGCCCTGCTTCATGGTATCCACAGGGTCAGCAGCGCTGGGAAGCTGCTATTGGGCACAGGAAGTATTCTAGTTCAGCCTTTCCCAGCCTGGTGCCCTCCAGGTGCTTTGGACTACAACTCCCATCAGGCCTACTGAGTTGGCACTGGGTTGGGGTAAGGCTGCTCCTTCCTCCTCTTCAACAAGTCAAGCAACGGAATTCAATTCAGGTCACCTTAAACACATGGTGTGTTCGGGTTTTTCTTAAAAGGGGAGAGGGGGGGGCAGGTTCAATATCCTACCTAGTCACAAATGTGATTTCTCTTTTCTTTCCTTATGTACATGCAGGTTTTGCAAGCAATGGGCTACCCCACCGGTTTCGACGTGGACATGGAATGTACGAGCTCTGATGAGAAGTCAGACACTGAAGGCAAAAACGAGACAGTCTCTTCAAACTCAAGCAATAACACTGGAAACTCTACAATCGACACCTCTGCTACCTTGGAGGTGGTTGTTCAGTCATCATCCAGTGAGGAAGTGGGAGATAGTAAATAGGTGGAGAGGCCGAGCTAGTGAGAACAGGGTGCAAATGCTTCCTGCTTCTGTGTCTCAGGCTCCCTCAACAGGGCACCTTCCAGATATTGCTGGACAACTAAATCCCATCATCCCTAATCATTGGCCATGTTGGCTGGAGCTGATGGGAATTGGGAGTCCATCAACCTAGTCTGGAGGGCTCTTGGTTTGTCACTTGGAAGACGGAGCAGGGTTGTTTTCTGCTGCGCCAGAGGGCAGGACCTGAACCAATGGATCCAAATGACAAGAAAGGAGATTCTGATTAAACATTAGGAAGTACTTTCTGGGGATAAGGGCCTTTCAACAGTGGAATGGACTTCCCAGGAAGGTGGTGGAGTCTCCTTCCTTGGAGGTTTTTAAACAGAGATTGGATGGTCATCTGTCATGGATGCTTTAGTTGAGATCCCTGCATTGCAGAGGATTTCACTAGATGACCCTGTGGTCTCTTAGAATTCTGTGATTCTGGGATCTTCCTCCTCCCTCTGTGCGGTAATCTTTCTGGCAGTAAAGAGATTTCCCCAATCTCTTTAGCTGCTGCATGTTCTATACAGCTCCCTCCCTAACTTGAACCTCCTTTAGAAACTTGCATCTGTATCCACTCATTTTTCTCTGTGATGTCTAGAATTTCATCTCAAAATGGGAAAATTGAACATTAGAGAATCTCGTGCTCAACACTGGAGCTTCAGGCTACAGCCACAGCTGAAGACCTTGTTCTCTTTCAGCCTCAGACACTGCCCCTCCTCCCTAAACTAATGTGGGGAAAATCCTATAGCCACACACAGGTCCATCTAACTCAGTACTGTTTTCTCTGACTGGCAGCAGCAGTTGACCCAAGTCTTTCCAGGCCTTCGACCTGAGATACTTTTTTAGAATTGAAATGCCTCAACAAGGGTGCCACACATTGTCGGCCAGGTGACCCCACCAGCAATCTGGCCGCCGCACTCTGCAGTCGCTGGAGCTTCAGAACCAGACCCAAGGGCAGCCCCACGCAGAGCGCAGTGCAGCAGTGCAGCCTTGACGTTACCAAATGCCTGGAATACAGTGGTCAGGCCATCCCTCATAGGGCTTTGTTTAACAGCTGCCACACAGTTTTATAAGCCAGAGGGCCGCTGTATAAATTTTGGCTTACACATACATGTTTATGGCAACATGAGAAACTTGAAACAAGGATGTGTTAGCTCAGTGATTCATGTAGGCAGGGGGTTGGACTCGATGGCCCTTGTGGTCTATTCCAACTCTATGATTCTATGATTCTATGATTCTATGTGGTCCACAGGCACTGCTAGCACAGCTGTCTTCGTTGCTGCATTTCGTGTGTGTGTGTGTGTGTGTGTGTGTGTGTGTGTGTTTGTGTCTTTGCCAGTTGGCTAACCATGCCTTACTCAGAGGTCAGGACCTCCTGGAAGATCTCTGGGTTACCAGCAATAGGTCACCAAGGATTTCTGACTCCTTCCCCCACTCCCCCCAAGTTCTTCAGCTGAGGAATACTCAGACTCCTGTTCCTTAATCCTGACTGTTCCCTCCTCCTCCTCCTGCCCCTGAGGTCTGTGGGGTGGGGAACAAGCTTTTGAAGTCTGCCTGTCCCTGCCTTAGAAGTATGTGTGTCCGTGTCTTGGGTCAGTTCGGTTTGATTTGCTTGACTTTGACGTATTTTACTTCGCTCAGGTGAGAACTCAGGGTCCCATCCTCACAGCTAGTGGCAAGAATCCGGTGATGGAGCTCAATGAGAAGCGGCGAGGTCTCAAGTATGAGCTCATTTCAGAGACAGGCGGCAGCCATGACAAGCGCTTCGTGATGGAGGTGAGGAGGGGGGAAGCATATGGTGGCGTCCTGGCCTCAGTTTTGCTTTACCGCACCTTTTGATGGGGTACAAAGTCCTGGGCCAGAGAGAGAGAGTATGTCAGGCAACAGAATTGATTTATTTACTTCATAGGAATTATGTACTGCTTGGTTGTAAAGCACTTTGAGGTGGAGATTGTTTTGTTTTTACCAAGAGAACAAAACAATGAAATTATGAGTAAAACCAGTTAAAAACTGCGATTTCACATGTTTTAAAAAAATCAACAGCAAGCTAAAACAGAGATCAAAGGACATTCTACATGACTGTACAGGCTTGCCTAGACAAAAATGTTTTTAGCAGGTGCAAAAAAGAGAACAGTGAAGACGCCTGCCTGGTGTTTGTTGGCAGGGAGTTCCAAAGGGTGGGAGCTGAACACCTAAAATGTCTTAAATCTGCACCTTGAAATGTGTGGGTACAGCAGATATCATGTGCATCATCTTATATAGGCCCCCGGAAGTATTGCTGTGGAGCGTAGACTTGGTAACAAATGTTGGTAACCTGTGAGGCAGGAGAGGAAATCTTGTGGCCTTTCAGATGTGATGGAATTGCAGCTCCCATCAGCAGCTCCCATATAGTGGGAGCTGGAGTACGGCAACTTCTGGAGGGCACCAGATTCTCCCCACCTTTGCTGTGATGTGCCAGTGTGAAAGAGTAGTGGACTTGAGGGCCCCCAGCGGAGGCTGGGGGGCTCCCAGCGGAGGACGCAGAGCGGCAGGTGTAAAACCAGGCATCTTGTTTCCAGGTAGAAGTAGATGGGCAGAAGTTCCGAGGGGCTGGTCCCAACAAGAAGGTGGCCAAGGCAAGCGCAGCTTTGGCAGCTCTCGAGAAGCTCTTCTCTGGCCCCAACGCAGCTGCCAACAAAAAGAAGAAGATGCTGCCCCAGGTGAGGGTTGTCTGTCAGAGCCGCTTCCTTTTGGCCAGTGCAGCAGAAACGAGGTTGCTGACACCCGATAGCTGGTTTTGGAACTTTCTAGCAGGGACAGGGGACCTTTAGCTCTCCTTTTGGAGGGACTGCAGCTCCCACCATCCCTGCCCGTTGGCCATGCTGGCTGATAGGAGTTGGACCAAGCACCAGCTGATGGGCTGCAGGTCAGCCACCTGTTTCAAAGCCTTGATTAAAGCAGTCTTTGTCAGCGTGGTGCTCTCTGGTGGTTTGAGACTGCAAGTCCCATCAGCCCCAGCCAGCACAAATCAACACTGACAGGAACTCGCAGTCCAAATCTTCTGGAGGATGCCAGCTTGACTTAAATGGTTTGGGTCCACTGGGCAAAGATGCTCTGAAGCTGCCCAGGTAGCTGCTTCTCCTGGTGGGATGGTCAGATCCAGCAACCAGTTTGTGGCAGCAGAGGTTCTCAGTCTGAGCCTTCTGTTTCAGTGAAACCAGAGAAAATGCTGTCTCCTCCTCCAGTTCTGTCAGCTTGTTTTAGGGCGATTGATGGCTCCTAGGCTTTGCTCTGTCTCCACATCAGGAGGCAGAAGTTCTTCTGAATAGCAGTTTCTGGAAACCACGGGAGGCGAGGGAATTCTTCTGCTTGGGGTCTTGCTTGCTGGTCTTCCACAGGCATCTAGTTGGCCTCTGTGAGAACAGGGTGCTGGACTAGATGCTGGACTGATCTAGCAGCCTTTTATATCTTGGGAACTGCCAGGTACGAGGGACCTGGCTCTTCCAGGTTCCTTTGAGGCTGCTCCTTTCACCATGAGACCAGAGTCAAGAAAGCTCTGCCCGGGGGGTGGGGGGTGGACACACACACACACACACACACACACACACACCATAAAGTCAAGCAAGCAAGATAATTTATTAGGGTCGGAGACCAGCTTATAAAACACACTTGGGGGTACAATCCCAGAAGGAAAACAAACATTTAAAACAATGTACAACAATAAATTTAAAATTTATAAATGTGATAAGCATATAGACACTTAAAACTTTAAGATAAGCTACCGCAGAGAGATGACCCAGAGTCACCCATGGAAACGAGTTTGGGGATTTTCTTAACTCACTAGTTTGGGTCGGGGGATGGTCTGCACCTATAGATCTGTACACAGAATCTGGCGACCGTCCGGGTCGCCTTATAATCTTTGCCTAACAGGAAAAGGTCAAATTTTTGCTTTTCCGGGAGGTCAGCGAGCCTCACCAGCAGGAGGTCAATGGTCTCACTACGGGCCTCTTCATAAAAGGGACATCTAAAGAGCAAGTGCTCTGGGCTTCCTATCTCCCCCAATGACCAGGCCACAATGAGGTCATTGGAGGGCGTCTGTCCTGCTTTCCAGCTTCAGCTGGGCACTTGCCGTGAGCTGAACTGGCGATTTGAGCCTTGGGTAGGCTGGCAGAGTGCCTGAATCACAGAGAGGGTGTGCAGATAAGTTGCCCCTGGCTGGGCCTGGTCCCCTGTGTGTATGTGGTTTCTAAAACCAGGCCCCAGAACAGAGCATATTTACTTTCCACTGTGGAGGAAGAGCAGAGCAAATGGAGCCAGAAGGTAATTAAGGAATAAGATGGTTATAACGTGAAAAGGGTATTGGATTCAGGCTCTTCATGCAAACACACTGGAGAGGAAGAGACCGCCTGAAGGAGCCAAGAACTGTAGGGATGCTTTGCAGCTCCAGAGCGCAACACATTTTGTCCCCAGTGCTACAAAACGAGGGGAAGGTCTTTATTTTGACCCTAAGCATTGAGGGTCAGAAAAGGGCAGCCCAGGTGATCAAGGGGACAGGTGCAGCGTTTTGGACTTTTGAGTTTAGAGAAAAGGGAAATGAGAGGTGGCCCGATATTATTATTGAAAAATTATAAAAATAATTGATGGCGTGGAGAAAGTCGGTAGAGAAGTTTTTCTCCCTCATAACATGTGAACTTGGGGACATCCAGTGAAGCTGAATGTTGAAAGATTCAGGACGGAGAAAATAAAGTACTTCTTCATGCATAGTTAAACAGTGGAACTCCCTGCCACAGGAGGCGGGGATGACCACCATCTTGGATGATGTTAAAGGAGATTGGACAGATACACGGAGGAGAGGCCTCTCATTAACCCACTGGCCATGATGGCTCTGCTTCCGAATACCAGTTTCTGGAAGCCACAAGAGGGGAGAGTTGCTCTTGTGCTCAGTTTCTGCTTGCATGATTCCCTTTGGGGCATCTGAGAACGGGATGCTGGACTAAGGACCCACTTCCCTCATCCAGCAGACTTTTATTATGCTCTTGTGTTCAAGGAGCTTGGTGCTCTCTTGAATGAGGAGGCAGCACCAGATTCTGAGCACCACTGAGAACAGTCTCTGGGTGTCCTGAATAGCCCAGGTGTCCAGCTACCTGGGATCCATCTTTCCTTGGTTGTGCCTCATCTGCATTTTTCTCTCCATGCAGACAAAAGGGATCGTAAACACAGCCATGTCTGCAGCGGTCCAAGTGGCTCGAGGAAGAGGGAGAGGGGCCCTCACACGGGGCGCATTTGTTGGGGCAACAGCTGCCACTGGCTACCTAGCACCAGGTATGACCAAGCCAAGCCTGTCCCCCAGTTGTGGCAACGGAGAGCCAAGCCCAGCTGCAGAGGTCCACCCCACATCTCGGGAGCACTGGGTCAAGCTTTGCATGGGGCAGGAATGGGGACCAACTCGTCCCACACCCTCCAGGAGTTGCTGCACTCCAGATCCCAGCAGCCAGAATGCCCCAACAGTCAAGGGTGATGGGAGGTGGAGGCCAGCAAGATTTTAGAATGTCACAGGTACCTCAACCCTGGCTGAGAGGATGAGAGGATTCTGAGCAGCGCCAGGGTGGTCTTGTTGTTAAGGTGTCTTGACTAGGACTTGGGAGAGAACAGGGTCCAATTCCTCATTTGGCCAAAAAGCTCGCTGGGTGTGATGTTGGGCTAGTCACGGCCTCTCAGCCTGACCTCCCTCCCCCAAGGCCACCTTCAGCACCCTGGAGAAAAAGGTGGGACGTAAATGCAATAGATATATAATAGATAGATAGATAGATAGATAGATAGATAGATAGATAGATAGATAGATAGATAGAAAGGCTTCCATCCCATTTTGGTTTTTAAGCTCACCAGCACCCAGCAGGTAACACTGGCCTGTGCTTTAAGCATGTTTCTCTGCTCATAATGAATGTGCCACCTACTCCCATATCTCTCCCCTCCCCAAAATGTGCCGTGGCACTTTGTGGTGGCTAGGCAGAGCTGCAGCCAGCAATGTACTTTGGAATAACAAAATAGGCATCTGTTTTGGATTAAATTGATGCTTCCATCTTCATTGAATGCAAACCTTTGGAGACTTCCTACATTTTTGAAGATCTCTCCACCCTCCCCCCCAAAAAACCAAGCAAACCTGGGGATTATGAGCAGTGCTTTTTTCCCCAAGGGGCAATCAAGGGTACACAGTACAGCACCTCTTTTTTTGTTGAAAAGGGGTGGCACTTGCTGTAACAATTTCATGGTGAGGACCAGTACCTATTTTTCTAGAGAAAAAGCACTGGTTATGAGTCTGCACATTTGCATTTTTGTCAAGGCGTTCGTTTAAAAACAGAAGGGTTTCCCACCCAGATTCTCTGCCATAAGTTTTTGGAATTGTTTTAGCTGCCTTGGGGCTCAGTTTAAGGTAGGGTGTCAATAGTCTAAACTGCCCCACTCAGCTTCCGGGCAGGGGATGCTTTTCCTTTAGATACTCGAGTTTCCTTGAGTGTGTAAATGCCTGAAGGCTTCTTCTGAGGTCCCCTTCAAGTATCTGCTTCTTCTCAACACTCTGCCATGACAAATCAGTTTTGCCCCCTCCGTGTGTTTCTGTTGCAGGCTATGGGGCACCCTACGGATACAGCACAGCTACTGCCGCACCAGCTTACGGTATGTACAGCCTCTTCCTTACGTGACCCCACAGGCCATGTTGTATGTATGTACAGTATTTATTATCTCGTGGGGCGTGAGCCAAAGGCTTCTGGGAGCGGCCTGGGAGGAATCATTGACTCCCCAGCGACGTTGATAAACCGCAGCACCTCATTTTGTCTCTCTGGAAGGCTGTTGGCCCCTGCCGTGGCTCTTGTTCTGGTTGGAGTAGCTTCCTCCTTCCTCCTGCTGCTTCTGCCTGACTGTGGAAGGGTTGCTTGTTCTAACTGCCTGTTCCCCTTTCATACCAGAACTTGAACCTCTCTTTCCCCTGCCTGAGTAGCTCTCCTACCTTCTTACAGCCATCTCGTACTCCATTCAAAGGAACCCGAAGGGCCAATGCTCGATTGACTTGAACCGCCCAACTCTCCCCCAAAATGGCTGGCTTATTGGTGGCTGTACAGCTTTCTTGGGTCCTCTTTGCAATCTGCAGCGAACCAGTTCTTTGTCACTGCTCTATTTTTGGGGACACACAGACACAGTGTTGAAGCCACACAGTCCTGGCTCCCTTTCATGTTAACAGAGTCATAGCTGTTGTGGTGGTTAAGTTCACACACCTGAGGCTGTGCACCCCTTCTCCTCCTCAACTGGGCTTGGCGAGAGGCAGCGGTCCACAGCGGCAGATCTCATATTGAGCAACAATAGCTGCAATGGCTGTTAATTGAGCAAGGTAATGTGTGAACTCTTCCTCCTACAGGATTGTGTGAGCAAGTCCAACTGGCTCTGCTTACTCTCCTGCCCACAAACAAACAAAAAACTAGGCAGTGCCACTTGATGTGCTGAGCAAAAGAACCTCAACACTCCTTCCTCCGAAAGTGTGTAGTTCTCCCCCCCCCCATGCTGGCCCCCACCCAACAACAACAACCTTGTCTTGTTTAATTGGGGGGAAACCCCTGGCTCTTTGGATTACTTTGAATGTAGTTTTATGCAGCAATGAGAGCAAAGCCCATTGGAGTCAGCGATACGGTCCGGATCCTGTAGAATCCCAACTGCCCCCCTTCCCTGAATCATTTGCTGTGACACATTCCTCCATTGAAGGAGTCAGAAGCTTTTGTTGTTTTGAGGATACATCCTTCCCAGAGAACAAGGCCTGCTGTTTGCCTGCACCGTTTCCTGCAACTCAGGTTCCTGCAGGTCTGAACACTGCATTTCTTAAGACTGCTTTTGGCAAAGTGGAGAGGGGGGCAGCCAGTTAGGGGTTTTGGAAACTCAAGTCACAGCCAGCTCTTCCGACCATTCCTTGTACATTTAAAAGCAGCCAGAACAAGAGGAGTTTGAGGGAATGTGCAAGCCCTGCTCTCTTCCAATATATGGAGAGCAATACATTAGACGGAGCACTCTTGGTCTCTGTTGCACCAGAGGGCAAAACCAAAAAGGGGTGGAAATGGAAGCCATTCTTTAGTTCAGCATTAGGGGGGAATCCTAACCATCTAATCTAGCTATCAATCAGGGATTCTTTAGCTGTGATTCCTGCTTTGGGCTAGAAGACCGTTGGGGGGCCCCCTCCCAACTCGGCAGTTCTGTAGTTCTATATTCCTAGCGGCAAGAGCCGTTCCAGAGCACAAAAGGGGCAGCCGCAGAGAGAGCCTTTCCCCACATCCACAGCTCAGAGAGGCAAAGGAGAGCTTCTGCAGCTGATTTTAATATCTTGCTCTTTTAGTCCCTTCCCTTGAGACACTGGGCTCTCACCTCAGAGTGGAGAAATGGGAGCTGCCTTAGTGGAGTTTTGGAGAAAAGGCTGAGAGCGCCACAGTGTTCGTGCCTCTTTCTCTCATCATAGCTCTGGAAAGTTGGGCAGGAATTCAGGAGGGGGGCGGCTGAGGTAATTGGGCACCTAAAATTGTGTCGTTCTCTGCCCCTTTCCCTCTCCCTCCCACCTTACACGGCCCATCGCTGACTCCCAGCATCTTGCCTGGAGAAATGCTGCCCTCATTCTCTGCATAAAGGATCCTCACCACTCTTTTTGGGAAATGTCTGACTGCTTGGTTGTGGTGCTGAGTCTGGGGACAGAAGCGCTGCTCCTGGCTGTAAGGTTCCCACCCACCCACCTTCCCCCATTTTTTCTTCTCTTTCTCTCTCTCTTTCTCTCTCTGCCTCTGTGAAGCTGTTTGCATGTTGGGAAAGTTTCCCTGATCATCTCGATCTTCTTGGAATAACTGCTGTTGCTGCTTTCTGATTTCTGAAAAGAAACATGTAGGTGAAAAGACCCAGGGCCCTTCAAACAGGAAACACTTGTTGTTTTACTCTCTTTTTTCCCTCCCCCAACAAAACAAAACAAGCATCTGCAACAGACTCTTAGTGAGGCCACAAGAATGTTAAATTAGGCAGAGAGAGACCTGGTTGTATCTTTCCAGCCCCTTTCCCCCGCCTAAGAGGACAAACTCCCACAAATTATTTGTCTGAGCTGCATTTCCCCTGTCTGCTTTGAGGTCTTCTGCAGAGGGAGGGGTGTGAATGCCCCCGAGGGACAGCTTTCGGATGCGCTTCCCTTCCACACATGTAGCAGGGTGTTGATGCTGTATTTGCCACCATAGCAGGCTTGTGAAACAAACTCCAGCCTGCCCTGGTGTATGTGCCAAAGTTCTAGCTGAATCTCTCCTTTAAAAACAACAACAACAACAAAACTAGTTGCAGGCCCCTAATGAACCACTTCCTGTTCCTTGCCTGCTCTGGTCTGCTTTGGGAGGGAGTTGGCTTCAGGGGAGGGTGACCTTGGTCCCCCTGAGCACACTGGCTGCTTTGACCTTGGGTAGCCACCAGGAGGCCAAATTAGGAAGCTTCCTCTTGTCTCAGTTAAACAAGCAAACAGACAACTTGCCTTTTTCCAGTGGTTAGACTTACCTGGAGTCCTCTTGGTTTCTTCTCTTTTTAGGTTTGCCCAAGAGAATGCTTCTGTTGCCAGTTATGAAGCTTCCCACCTACCCAATGCCCCATTATTCCTTCTTTTAGCAAATGGCAGAGACCAGTCCCCTCTGGCTGGCTGACCACTGCAGTACAGTACAGAATGCTAGAAGTAAAAGTGATACAGGCAGATTGACAGGACGTCCTGCCTGCTTTTAACCCTGGTTTTCTTTCAACGCATACTTGAGCAAAAACCATTTGTAAAGAAGCATCTTTTCCTACTTTTTTATTTTAAGAAAATGCAAATTTAGTTCTCTAAAAACTTGAAGCAAGCAAACAATGGTCTGTGAAAATGGTTACCTCATTTTTTTTCCAAAATAACTTATACTAGCCTTCTGTTATAGGGAATAAACTTAGATGCTTAAAATCATTGTTTTTAAGTGAAGTACCCAAATTATGTAAAACTTTAAAAAAAAACTTGTGAAGGATGTATAGAGTATAAGACGCTGATCACAAAGGAATAATAAAACCAGTTCTTGTTGTAATGGAGAGTTTTCGCCTGTTTTCTAACACAGGGCCATGGCCTCCGTGTGCCTGTCACCTTTAGGCCTTTGGATATGTGGTGTAGCTGCTTCTCTAAAAAACATACTCTCTGCACTAAAAATAAAATAGAAGAAGAAGGCCCACCCCCTGAAAAACCTGTTTAGCTTTGTAAATACCAAGTCATGTAATCCAGTAGAATATGGGCTCAATTACTGCTTCAAAGAGAAAGCTTTGAATTAATTCCATGTGAAGGTTTTGTGAGGTCCTTTCTAGGATATGCCACCCCAGGTCTTGGAAGGACTTCCTATCTCTTTAGCACTTACAGCGATAATGCGGGCTATGTCTACGTGCGACAGATTGCTCATACTCTGCAATCTGCTGCTAATTTAGGGGGGTTACCTGGACACTTTTGATCCAGAATATGTTCTCTTCTTGTGTTAGGATTCATTTTGCTACTTTGGGAACCAGAGATGGTGGCTATAGAGAAGTTTCGAATGTCCTCTTCCCCTGCCCCTCAAATTTCAAATGAGTCAGGCATATCAAATAATCCAAATTGAGAAAGTTCTCAGACCATAAGTGAGAGCGTTGGAATGTAATAAAAGTCCAATAGTTAGATCTACTGGGAGTTAAATGCTCCAATAGTTAGATCCTTTAATTCCAAAGTCTGCTCCTCCAATCACCCCCCCCCCACACACACACACCTTTTAAAAAAAGAAACCAACCTCAAATAAATGAGCCCAACTCACGGATGTTCTTGTGGCCTCCTTCGCTCAGTCTGGGATCTTGTAGCTCATTGGTGTGAATTTTTTGCCCCCCTTTTCAGAGCTAAAACTAAGGCCTATCCTTTCCCCATCCCTCCCACCCACAACCTTGTACAATTCTAAGAATCTGAAGCAGCAACACGGTCCCCCATGAAAACTTGCTACCTTAATTGTCCTGGTCTCGTCCAGTGCTGCTGTGGAAAGTTAGCCGTTTCAGCCATAGGCCAGTATCTGCCCTTTTCCTTTAACATTCGAGCATTGAAAGCAAAAGCGGCGATTTGCTGGGTCATGTGCATTGGCTTTGCCTGTGCACATACCTGCTTCGCTTTGAGATCCAGGAGACTGTTCTCGAGAAAGACTTATGTGTGGGGTATGTGGGGGCTCTTTTGCACTAGGGGACTTAGCTAAGGGAACTGCTATTAAGGCATCACCCCCACAAAAAACGTAAGTGTTCCTCTTGCTCTCTTCTTTTCAAACGTCACCCATTTGTGGCTCACCTTTTTTATGATGGTTTTGTGCTGCCCAGAGGAGGCCTTTATATACTCTGCTCTCCTCCAGGTGTTTTTGGACAGGGGCAAGGTGGGTCTTGGTCAATGTGTGGTGGGGTGTGTGTGTGTGTGTGGAAAGGAGGTTGAGTTGTGGGGTCTCTAAACCTCCATGGAGGAAGAGCTCCATCCTTAAGATGCCTTCTTCAGGGGCAGAGTATATAAACAAGCAGCTTTCTTCAGGGTTAACCACAGTTGTGGTTTTGGGAAAAGGTGGCGGTGGAAAGTCAGCACCTAAGTATTTGTCCTTCTTTGGAATGTGATTTTTTCCGTCCTCCGCAGCTGTTTCCACTTTGTCCTCTGGCTTTTTGGTTCAGTGGCGGTGGTGCTTTAAAGGCTGTCTTGGGTGGGCAGCATCAAGTCTGCTGTTCGTCTTCCCTTGCATCTTGTGTACAGGGATTGCTATTTTTAATGCTCTGGGGGGGGGCGAGGTTGGGGATGGGACTGAGGCTTGGGGTGCCTTCAGATCGAGAACAGTATTGATAAAACCATTGACTGTCTTGCTGGCCTATGGATGAAAGGAAGACCATCACTGAGCTTGGAAAAGCATGGCAGATAAGACTTACCAAACAAAGATTTCCGTGCAAATTGGCAGCTTGATAAATTTCAAGGGTTGGGGGTGTTTCTTGGTGTGTGTTTTTGTTTTGGTTAATGCCATGAAATTCTCCCAACCCCCACACTAAAAACCTTTCAAGCACAAATCTTGCTGACTTCATTGAGGATTCGCTTTCCAGAGAGATCCTCTCCCTGGTCAGTTGTGACAGCTCTCTGTGGGTGCTATGCTCTTTTCCAACTTGATGGCAAAATCATTTCCAATAATTGATATGAAGTCATTTTCCCTGCCCTGCCCTCTCCTCTCCATTTATTTTTTTGTCATGTCGGGAGTTACTAACCACGTCTGTAAACCCGCCCTTTTGCTGCGTATTTTACATTTCTCTGCTTTACTTGAAAATCCTAATAAGCTATCGGTTCCTTATTTTTTATATGCCGACAAATATATGAAGGGGGGGGAGCAGGTAACTGTTAACTTTTTTTTTTGAGGTTGCTAATATAGGATGGTTCCATATATTTTTTTTATTTACCTAAAAAAACACCCGCCTACCCCAAAAAGGTATCAAAAAATGTGCCCATTTTGCAATGAAAATCCCACTTACAGCTTGAAAGAGCAGAGAAATTTAAGCGGCGCTCGCTACTTTTCCCTTTTCTTTAATTAACCTGCGATTTCTCTTCCTCTTGCTTCTCTGCTCTTCTCTCTGCTGTAGGTGGCTTTTTCATTGACGGCCCTTATTGCCAACCTCTCGACATGGCTCCTTTTATCATTCACTTGGGCCCTCAAGATTTCTTCTCTGACTTCTAGAGCAAACAGGTTATGCGGTTCGGAAAAAGGTGCTTTTTTCCCCTCCAACAAACGGTTTTTAAAAGCAAGACTTGGAAGGAGGGAGCGGGGGGCAGCCTTCAGCAATCAGATTTGGGACTCTCTAGTTTTCTCTTTCAGGGAAAAGAAAAGAAAAAAGCTCGTTTATATTTTTTTTAATTCTCAACTTTCCTGAACTCCCAAAAAGCAATACAACCCACCCCGGCTCTTAAAACCACAGCAATAGATGTACAAAAAGAATGTCGTTTGGCTACTTCTGCATTTCACTAAGGAAGGAACAACCCTGTCAAAAAGAGGATTGGGGTTTTTTTGCATTCTGAGCACTGGGTTAGCTGCTCTGGTCAAATTGTTGGCACTCCAGTCTGGGCTTTTGAGTCTGAGCAATGGGAGGGAACATTTTTTCTCTCTCTCTCCACTCCCCCCCCACCTGCCCGCCCCCTGGATTGCAGCAATGGGGTGGGAAGTTTCCTGGTTTCTAGATGGGGGTTTTTTTGGGCGGGGGGGAGTTAAGAAAGCTTCACTCCTTATGCACAACTTTGTGAAACTTATAGGCTCTTTCACCTGCAAATAAATGTGCCCCCACTGCTGCTGCTGCCCCCGTCTCCATTAGCATTTGCCCTAGAAACCTCATGGCCTGAAGGATGCCATTGGAGGGCACTGGGTCCATGGGGAACAAGCAAATTCCTTAGGGGGGAATCCAGCCCAATTGCTAGCAAGAGAGTGCAGAACCTTTGGCTTCAGATTATAGCTCAGCAGTGGATCTTCTGTGTGGCTTTGGTTAAGAGCCAGCTCTTTCCTATAAAATGGGAGCAATAAGCCTACCTTGCAACCCCGCCCCCCCTTGCAAGGACAGGTGTATCACTTATATTATCAATGCAGCCAATCCTCAAGTCCTGTTGGAATTTTTGGGGGGTCGGGGGAAGAGCCGCCCTCTTATTCCAGCAGAGCTTGTGAGGGATGAGCCCTCCAGGCTGTGTCCTGGGGGGTGGTATATCTCCATAGCAAGTGAATCCTTGCTATACCTGCTTCTCAGGAGGTTTAATAGAAATCACGCTTCCAGCCATTCTGGACTTCTGTTCATAAAGTTAGGCTTGAGCTGTGGCTGGAAGAGGAATAGCACTTCTATTTGTTGGCCCAGAGAATGTTTCTGTTTCTTCCTTTTCAACCATGCTGCTGTTTCACTGCACCTTACTGTTAATAGGCTTTCCTCTGTAGTTTTTTCCACTTGTGAAATGGAATGTAAATATCCAGGGAGGATTTTCTGTTTTTCTTTTTTTACATATTTATTTCTTTGGTTAAATACCAATTTAAGTTGTGTTTTTAGTGTCCTGCTCAAGGAATTGACCGCAAGGAAAATATTATTTGTGTTTTGTCTTAAGACACCATTAGCACTGAGGCAGGCAGCATTCAGAGGACTGCTTAGTGGAAGAGTGCCTGCTTTGCATGCAGAAGGTCCCAGTTGAACCCCCATGGCATCTCCACATGGGCCTGGGAACCCTGGAGAGCCACTGTCAATCAGCGTAGGAGCTGGGTGGACCCCAATAGGGTGACCTGGTTCCTAACACACTTCTGAGCAGGTGGTTCAATTACTGTTGTCCTCACTGAAAAATCCTCAGTTTAGAGCTCTCTCTTTCTCTCTTTTGTGTTCCATCTGAATGACCTAAATGCAGCGCAGCTGGACCAGAGAGTAGCCTGGTTTGTGTCTGGGTGGGGAACCCGTGGTTGGGGGCTGATGACAGCTGGAGTCCCCAGTTTCCCCAACACTCTCTTAGTCCAGAGCCCACCCTGCTGGTGGCAGCCCTGGTCCCCAGCACCCAGTAATTTAGCAGCGGGTGACCTCTAGACGGTTCTGTTTGGGGCACCTGCAGTTATAATGATGAAAAAGCCTTACCTTCACTCCGTGAGTCTGCCTAATTCCCCCCTTTTAAAGCAGCCTGTGCTGAAGCGGCCAAACTTTTTCTGGCACTGAATCCCCACCCATTTTAGACGCTGCAGTCCTTGAGGTGGGGGGCTGGTGCTTCCACAGGCCATAACCCACACCCCCTTTTCTGGGCTTGTGCTGAAACCACCACCCTCATTTGCTGGCTTCTGAAGAACAGAAGAGGATGTCCCATAATAACTGTCATGAATAAGAAATGAATGTTTTCTTATCAATAATTAAATCTGATCACTTAACTGATGCTCTGATGTTTTTATTATTACTATTTAAAAAGAAACATTAGTCAGCAGAGAACATGTTTATAAATAGAGCGGGTTAATTCCTGTGCGGGGGTGAAAGGGTGGCGTGGAGAATGAGTGTTTAACTCATAGGCTAATAAGGTTGGTGCCCGATGGGAACCTTTAATAAACTGTCCAAATGTCGCAGGAGGTTCTGAAGCTGCTCTTGGGTTCAATTTTTAAAATGTTGCATACTGTGTCAACAGAACCTAGAAAAGTGAAGTGGGAAGAAGACCCTGTGCTATAATGAGAATTACCTCTTTATCTCTGCAACTTTGAATTTCTGGAACTGTCTCTTCACATCTAATGCCACTGAGCTCCCCCATAAGATAGAGAGAGGAAAACCCCCAAACCAGCCTGGCAAGGCTGAAGGCTGCCCACCTCAGCCTTAGAGACACACAGCTGTTGCCCCCTCCCCCCCATTTGCTTATGGGAAGTGGAGTCAGCTGTGGGGTGTAGGTCTCCCTTCACACAGGCTTCCAATGCCACACCCCCAACACAAATTCTCCTTTGTCCCTAGTGCCCAATACCAGTTACTTAGAAAAATTTACCTCTACAGCCTTCATACAAGAATCATGCTACAAGCACGTGGGTCATGCAGTGATGTGTCATGTTCTACCCCTCCCCCATCCCAGGAAGTCTACCTTCTGCACCTCAATCCATGTTCTCCAGCTACAACATTCATAATTCAAGGCAGCACCACGGGGAAGGGCCTGCAACAGTTCCTACTTGAGGTAGGAACAGGCTTAGCTGGGGAAGAGACCTTCCAGAGGTGAGATGCAAGCCATGTGCCGAGATGCTCTGTAGATGCTGCACCAGAGTCTATTCTCTGTTGCTCCAGAGGGAATGGGACCCAACTTCAAACTGCAAGGGGAAAACAGACTTTAGACTAAACATTTGGCACTGGAACAGACTGTGCCTCAGAAGGCTGCTCTCCTTAGCTGGAGATTTTCAAGCAAGGGCTGAACAACTGCCTGTCCAGGACATGGTAAGAGTGGGGGCTGGACTAGATAACCATCTGATACCCCTCCCAACACTGATTCTAATTCATTCCTGCAGCTTGAAGAGATACAGTCTAGCCTGGAACCACACGCTGGAGCAGTCAGTTGTGGGCAAGTTACAAAACAAACACAAAAACAAACCCCAACAGCAGCAGCAAAAATAAATCCATATAGCTATCACAAGGAGCTATAACCAGTGGTGAGTTTGGCAAGTGAACTTGGTGTGTGATAGTAAAGCACAACACAAACCTCCTAAAGGCCAGGAGTTCACAAACTGCAGCAATGCTTCTTTGGTGTTTAGGGAAGCTTCTGCCTTCCTGGTGTTGCTCTGCCCTGCCACTCTGAGAGCAAACGAGCCCCCATGCTGTCAACAGCCATGCTGTAGCCTTGGCCGGCCAGCTTCTGCTTGTAAGTCAGCCCAGGCTGGGAAACCATTAAGTTATTCATTTCCTCCAATGACTTCTCTGTGCGCGCTTTTTTTCTTTTATAAAATAAGCCTGCTTCTCGTTCTCTCCTTCAAGCAGCTACCTGTTCTGCACACCACCATCTTATTCCAAAGCTGCTTATTAAGCAAGGGCCAATTTTCACACCTTTTTCTCTTTTTTTCTGCGTGGTGAAGTCATACTTTACTTCAACTTCTCCTTCCGCCGGATTCCACAGTGCTAAAAACACGCCCTGCAAGAACCTCCAGATTGTGACTGAAATCAAAACAGGTGTTTTGCAAGCCAAGGGAAACCAAATGAAAAAAAGTTTAAAAGCTCCACAGATGCATCTTTCTATTATGCTCCTAATACTTAATCTTAGAATCATAGAGTTGGAATAGACCACAAGGGCCATCGAGTCCAACCCCCTGCCAAGCAGGAAACACCATCAGAGCACTCCTGACATATGGTTGTCAAGCCTCTGCTTAAAGACCTCCAAAGAAGGAGACTCCACCACACTCCTTGGCAGCAAATTCCACTGTCAAACAGCTCTTACTGTCAGGAAGTTCTTCCTAATGTTTAGGTGGAATCTTCTTTCTTGTAGTTTGGATCCATTGCTCCGTGTCCGCTTCTCTGGAGCAGCAGAAAACAACCTTTCTCCCTCCTCTATATGATATCCCTTTATATATTTGAACATGGCTATCATATCACCCCTTAACCTCCTCTTCTCCAGGCTAAACATGCCCAGCTCCCTTAGCCGTTCCTCATAAGGCATCGTTTCCAGGCCTTTGACCATTTTGGTTGCCCTCCTCTGGACACGTTCCAGTTTGTCAGTGTCCTTCTTGAACTGTGGTGCCCAGAACTGGACACAGTACTCCAGGTGAGGTCTGACCAGAGCAGAATACAGTGGCACTATTACTTCCCTTGATCTAGATGCTATACTCCTATTATTGGCTAAATTATTCAAGGATAGAATTAATCACATTTACCTTTTGATTGGATGGTTAAACCACAGAGCCTAGGGCTTGCCGAGCAGAAGGTTGGCGGTTCGAATCCCTGCAACAGGGTGAGCTCCCATTACTTGGTCCCTGCTCCTGCCCACCTAGCAGTTCGAAAGCACGTCAAAGTGCAAGTAGATAAATAGGTACCACTCCGGCGGGAAGGTAAACGGCGTTTCCGTGCGCTGCTCTGGTTCGCCAGAAACGGCTTAGTCATGCTGGCCACATGACCCAGAAGCTGTACACCGGCTCCCTTGGCCAATAAAGTGAGATGAGCACTGCAACCCCAGAGTTGGCCACGACTGGACTTAATGGTCAGGGGTCCCTTTACCTTTACCTTTTGATTTATGCCAACGAACTTCAATATTCCGTTGAGTGTCCTCAATCCCTGCCATCCTGGCTCACTTTCAGAACATTTTTCTTTGGCTGTGCTGACTGGCAACATCAATTCAGAAGGCCAGTCAAGAGCAACTGGTGGGACACAGTAGAGTCCTGTGGCTGAAGAAAGTGATTGTGGCCACATCAGGGCCACCAAGCCTGACCAATGAGCCTGCCAGCTCCCTGCCTCCTCTCCCTGGGCTCTTATACTCCTGTAGCCCAGGGCAACTGCATCACATGCACAGAACAGGCCAGAAGGTCAAGGCGGTCACTGCAGACTGAGCTGCAGTGCATTGCCTAAATCGGGTTGGGGTCCTTGAGGGGCAGAATGCATCTCTCCAAGCCTTCTCGTCTGGCCTTTGGATCTCAGCCCAAGCCACACCTTTCCCATGGCCACTTCACACCCAGAGTGGTTTTGCCTATTCTTGAACTGCTATGCCTCCCTCTTGTGTGAATGGAGGACAGAGACGGGTGTGTGCACGTGTGCAGAAGCTAACCCTCTGTGCAAAGTTAAAATTCAGATTTGTTGCTCCACTTACTTTCACCTTTGGCCCTACCTGCCACTGGCATGCGGCCCTTGCAATAAAAAGGATTCCCAGAGGGAGGAGGCAACTCTGTGGCCAGAGGTTTCAATGCATTAAGGTGGAAGGTACATCAGGTGCCAGAAAGGCAGCTGGCTCTCCATACAGTCGCCTGTCTGCGCTAAAGGAACTTGAGACAAACTGAATAAAGGACTTGTAAGAGATTTGGGGGGGGGGGCGCACGACCCTGCTGCACTGAATGAGCCATACTTCCTGAAAATTGATTACATGAAATGTATTGTTTCACACAGAAGAAATCAGCAAGCACTTTGTAGGGACAACATGCAATATACATCATGAAACCCCACCCCCCAGAAAAGTGGAACCCAGAGGAAAATGATGGTGGAGAACCTTTGGGCTCCCAGCCTTTGCACAGTGAAAATGGTTCTGGAGAAGCAGCTGAGACACCCCCCCCCCGTGTGCCTGCTATGTCTGTGGCCTCTGGAGACAGAGTCTCTAAGCAGGCTGTCCCCTCCCTGCCCACTAGGGCAGGATCGCTGGGGGCTCCCAGCACCACACGCCTTCTGCTTCCTGACAGCAACACTGCCCCTTAAATGCTCTGGTCAGGCAGGCACCCTTTCTTCCTGCACAAAGCAGCCGCCTTGCCTGCCCCAAGGTGGCCTCCAAGCTATTCTTAGCTTTGTTAAATTCAAAAGGGGAGGAAGGAGAGACAGGCTCCTAAGCAATTAGCAACAAAGCAGAATGCTGCAGCACATCTCCCTTGCTAGGCAGGCTGGCAACACCTGTGTGTGCTTTGGAAGCTGCTGCATCTAGTGAGCAAACTTCAGCTTGCGGTTGAAAGGTAAAGGACCCCTGTACGGTGAAGTCCAGTCAAAGGCGACTATGGGGTGTGGTGCTCGCCTCACTTTTCAGGCCGAGGGATCCAGAGTTTGTCCACAGACAGCTTAGAACTGTAGAGGTGGATGGGTCATCTAGGACTCCTTGCAGTGCAGGAATCGCAGCTAAAGAATCCTGGCAGATGGCCATCCGACTTCTGCTTAAAAACCTCCAATGAAGGAGAGTCCACCACCTTCTGAGACCCATCAACAAATGTACAGCCCACGAGCCGCACACAGGGCAGAAGGGGCTCGATTGCACGTTGAACCTGAATCTTCAAACATGTGCACAGATTGACCATGGAACCCGATGACAGCCATCCTTTGCAGCCAATTCTCTAACTGCTAGCCAAGGTACCACAAGCAGGCAGAAAAGTGGACCTTGGAAGCAACTCAGAAAACACTCCTTCATCCATGGGCACAATTCAGCACCTGCTAAAGGACGGGGTGCAGCTCAGTGGTACAGCACTTGCCTGGCACGTAGAAGGTCCCAGTCCCTGGCAGCATTTCCAGGCGTGGGTGGCAAAGACTCCTGTCCTGGTACCCTGGAAAGCCATTGCTGGTTTGCTGAGCTGGAGGGCCCAGTGGTCATACTCAGGGTAAGGCATCTTCCTGCAGTCCTATAGACTAGGGATGCCCAACAGGTTGATCGCAATCCAATGGTGGATCCCCGGGAGGTTTTGGTAGATCATGGTCGATCGCTGGGTCCCTTCCCTTAGCGTTTGAAAAATAGAATCCTGCC